ATGATCCTTACTGGACCTCTAGGGAGAACAGTTTAGAACTGATAGAGCTATCCAGTATAAATAAAGTTAGTTTAGGTTTCCTCCTGTAGTAACACTGGATCAATAAGAGATGACCCTTACTGGACCTCTAGGGAGAACAGTTTAGAACTGATAGAGAAATAGGTGCTTATTAACTATCATGCCACCACCCTTTTAAAAAAGTCACTTCACTGACCCAATACGATATTCTTTTTCCTTCCGGCGACCTCGTCCGCCACTTCACGATGAGCTACGGCGAGGAGCCGAAGCATTTTCTGAATCTCATTCATCTCATGTGTAGGCAGGACTCTGATCTCACCGATGCTGATGTCGACGACTGCTATGGCAACGCCATCTTGATCACGAATTGGAAAAGCAAGATGGCGCTCGCCATACGCGTCTGCTGTGATGGTTTCAGAACTTTCTACACATTTGAACAGGTAGTCCCTAGAGGAAAGTACATAGTCATACTGAATAACGAAAAACAGCCATTTAATCTTTCTCAACAGTCAGGCCTTAAAATATCAGTCGGTCACGGACGTTGTCCGACCCATTCGTGAAATTGTCCGACGTAGAAAGGAAACCACCGGACATTCTGTCCGACCAAAGTGAAACTGAGGTTTATTGTTTGTCCGACCCGAGTGTATTGGTGTCCGACCGAACTGTAGCTTTGTCCGACGTAAATCAAAATGTACCCTAGCCCAGGACTAGAGGCTTGTGTGTTAAATGGAAAATCGGAGTACTATTGTATAAAAGGTCAACTGGAAATGTTGTTTTAACGTATTAGTTGAGCACAGGGAGGCGAGCGAAATGGTGAAGTGGAAAACGGGCTTAAGTTGTCGAAGTCTTTTTGATGCTGCTGTTCTGGAAAGCAAGTTAATTTTGGCTTGGAAATAAGTATGAAAGAAACAAATTATTTAATATTTTTACAACATTTACCGTTTATTCATTTGTGTCATTCAGACTTATTTCCGAGTCAAAAATGAACTGAAGGTCATCGGACATATGTCCGACCCAAACTCAACGTCACCGGATATTTTGTCAGACGGCCCTGGAAAAGATATTTTAAGGCCTGCAACAGCCGAAATTCAACAGTTTAGAACTGAAAATAGGCATTATAAATAGAGAATACTTATGATTTATATGACATATGTGGTTTACAGGTAAAAAACTATTATAGTCTGGCCATTGAAAAAGATCGCGACTTTATTTTTACGACCGTTATGGCCATAGGGACACCTGGCTTCAAGGCTTTAATATTTGCATGATGGTGAATGGGATAAAATGTGAAAGTTATACCTGAATAAATTATCCTTACGATTCATTCGCGGAGGATCAGCAAAATATTCTCGTTTTCGGTTGTGGTCAATAGAAAACATTCTTCTTAACACCAGCCCGTCCGCAGGCTAAACATCAAACATATTAAGATACATAATAAAGAACAGATGTCATTCAGTAACGAGTTAGAACAGGGAGCACAATGGGTGATTCCAGCCTAAATTTTGATCAAGGCAAGAACGAAATCCAACACCACAGCTAGAAAGAGCGTCTTAGAATGAGTAAAACTGCAAATATTAGTTGCTAAATGTCGTAAAATGAAGAAAATATAGCCCTGTGAAGTTCGCGAATTTTGTATCAATTTGTATTACGCGCGGGAAAAATAACCACTTTTGGCTCAAAAATGGTTAGTATCTTGTACGATAAATCTAGTGGTCACAGCAGAGGTACAAAGCTAACATAGGTCTAACATAATCTGGTTAATTCAATCTTATCGCTTATTTAAATTAATCAGAACTATGATCAAGTTAATCAGGACTTTGGTTAAATTAACTGGGACATTTTTAACCAGGAACCATAAACCACAATACTAATACTTACATGAAGTCCAGGTTCAACAAGATAGAAATTACTATTCTTAACACTGTGTGTACGACGATGTATCCATGACAACGCGGAGTCAGCAATTCTCACTGTCTTACTGCGAATATCAACATATTGCATGCTCACACTGAGAGTCTTTACAACACCCTGAAATAAATTATCCACAATTATTATTTTCAGGGTTATCTAAATATATAATTCAGTGTTGAAGAGCAGGTCTGGCTGTTCCGGGCTGGATGCGCGCGCTCTCGTTAGCTCCCTGCATGTGGTTTACACAGACGAAAAATTCAAACCTGATAAAAACTAATCTCATGTGTAATGAACACAGATTTCTCCATTGGGTCGTCCACAGTATCGACGCATAGAACCCCTGTCACACTCTTCTCGTGATCTTTCAGAGGGAGAACAATCAGAGATCCGTTGGCACCCTAAGAACACAACAAAGAATTTTAACTTTATTTATACTGGATATTTTATCAATTCTAAACTGTTCTTCCTAGACGTCCAGTAAGGATCATCTCTTATTGATCCAGTGTTACTATAACAGGAAACCTAAACTAAACTAACTTTATTTATACTGGATAGCTGTATCAGTTCTAAACTGTTCTCCCTAGACGTCCAGTAAGGGTTATCTCTTATTGATCCAGTGTTACTACAGGAGGAAACCTAAACTAAACTAACTTTATTTATACTGGATAGCTCTATCAGTTCTAAACTGTTCTTCCTAGAGGTCCAGTGTTCTACGAAATAACCAAGCAATTACCGCTTCCTTTCTTGCGGGATTCCACAGGTGTACCCCAGGATGATTGAGAACTTTTGTTACATGTATTGGCTTCCCAGTATCCACCACGGCAAAACTGATTGACCTCATATCTCGATACAAACATTTCTTCATTACAAACGGAACATCGTTAGGGGTCGCAGCCACATAGCGAAGTAACGTCGCGCCTCTGTGTTGCTTCTCTGGGTTCAAATTGTTTTCTAGCAGAGCGATAGAAGCACTGATGACCTGGAGAAAGAGAGAACGATTTTAAGTCCACAAATTTGAAATACCGACAGCTGCTTATGTACTATTTAAAACATGGGCAGCAGTGTTGTATTGGATATACAAACTCGAGCCGAATGCGAGGCAACACGGACGTGAATGGCTTGTGAAACGTCTTGATGAGAACATTCGTATTCTTCCAACAATTTAAAATGAATGATATTTGGTGAGAAAATTGAACTTAAAGTTTATGTAAAACAGCATGATTTTGTATCAGATATATAAACTCCTTCGCGGTTATGCTTTCTTTTGTGTTTTCTTCATGAATTATTAAGGAGTTTCACAAACTATACACAAACTATAAGGTGTATTACGTTTCTCTCGAAGCTACATATTTCTCAATTTTACTGAACAGAAATGCTTTATTAAATAAATGTTAATAAGCCTTGTACTTGATCGTTAAAAAGGCAAAAATCTAAATATAATGGAAAGAATGAACATTATTTTGTCACTCTGATAACTGCAGGTTAATCACCATCTGCTGCACAATAGTGCTCAGTAGTGAAACCCAGGTTACAATCTACATAGGTTGCCCACAACTTTACCTTTTCTCTGCCATGTGCCTCAGCATCGTTGAATAGAGCTTGAAACGTGGCTTGATACACTCCATCAACAATCCCAGCACTTGTTTTAGCCGCCATATCAATGTCATTTATCCAAGACTTTCTTGCTGCGCCTCGCTTCCTCTCCTCAAATGTTCGCTACAAAATACAACAAATAAACATATTTCGTGTAAAGGTCACATATTTTGTATTTTTCACTGGATAGCTCTATCAGTTCTAAGCTGTTCTCGATAGCTCTATCAGTTCTCAACTAGTCTCTTTAGCGGTCCAGTAAGAGTCATCCTAGGGAATCATAAAAAAACACATACTACAGGAGGAAACAGCTGTATCCAACAGTGTTTGAATGGGTCAGACTGGAAGCACCATTCTCACGTGTCACCAAGCTAAAATTCTAATTATCAGACAGCAACACAAAGCAGGATGGCAGAGGTGACAGGCGGATGTGCTGACTATCTAGGTGTGCATTTTGTAAGTTTTAAAATCTCACCTCTATACTAGTATGAAGAAATATAACAATAGCCTCAAATGGATCTTCATGCGGGAAACATGCTGTACAAACTGAGTCAATGTAGTCATGAAGTTCTGAACATATCACTTCTCGCGTGTCTGTGTAGTGTTCTTCCATAACTAGACGAAGACAAGGGAAAAGGTTATTGACAAAGTGAATGCTGCTGTGGGATTCTTTGCTACCTTAAGACACATAATAGACGGGTTTCCAAGCTGCAGTTATCAGAATGAGAAAATAATGTTAATCCTTTTCATGATATGTAGTAGTCTTGTATTTGGTAGCAAGTACATAGAGTTGAGACAGGACTATAGTTTAAATATTTTTGGCCAAAGGTTAGGGCAAAGATTTCCGAAGTTGTCAACCACCAACTGACTAGTCAGTGCTTTCAAAGCTAGATGAAGTAATTCCTTACATTCTTGGAACTCGGGTTGCGCAGAAATATCTTTCCATTTTGATAAAACATCGATTACTTCCAGGAAATTTAAAGTTCCAGATCTGTCTACGTCCCAGAAATCAAAGAGTTGTTCCACCATATACTTTCGTTTGTTCACACGAGCTTCTTTACGAGCCTGCCAATAGAAATTATTTGAATTAAACTTAGGTCTTAAATTAACTTTATTTATACTGGATAGCTCTATCAGTTCTAAACTGTTCATCCTGGAGGTCCAGTACGAGTCATTTATTATTGATGCAGTGTTACTACAGGAAGAAACCTAAACTATAGTAACTTTATTTATACTAGATAGCTTTATCAGTTCTAAACAGTTCTTCCTAGACGTCCAGTAAGGATCATTTCTTATTGATCCAGTGTTACTACAGGAGGAAACTTAAACTAACTTAACTTTATTTATACTGGATAGCTCTATCAGTTCTAAACTGTTCTTCCTAGAGGTCCAGTAAAGATCGTCTCTTGTTGATCCAGTGTTACTACAGGAGAAAACCTAAACTAAACTAACTTCAGTCAGTATAGTTTAGAGTCAAACTGGAAGTAATTTTGTCACATACAACCGAGGCTAAATTATGGTCAGGTAATTCCATATTGTAGGAATAACTAATTCCCAGGTTTTGTTCAATTTTCGCTCAATTCTTTCATACCTTTGCCTGTCTGACAATTCTTTCCTCGTCAGTTTCGCTGTAGCTGGCTCTGATAAACCTCACCAGACTATCCAGAACCGATCTGACGAAGAAAATAAATGAACATTGATTACCGGTAAGAGAAAATAATGAACGAAAGAATAACCGACTGGCCAGTCGAGCGAGTAATTGAATTATCAATCAATCAATCATTTTATTTTTCACAATGATTTACAATTACTTTTTTACGTTAAACTTTGATCCTGACTTATGTGCAAGCTAGCTGCAATAACCATAGGGTTAGACGACGCAGCTAGCTTAGACTTACACACTAGTTAGCTTCGGTGACAACTTTGTCAACGCAAATTCGACTATGTACGTTTCTAACCAGTTTACAGGTACACACGTAAAAACGCACAAGTTGTAATAAACCTGTAGCAGACTTGTAACAATGCTGTTCCAACAACTTGTCAACAGGATGTGTTCGCACTGCTTGTTCCCAGCTTGTTCACAAGTTGTCAACGGCTTGTTGAATATTTGCTACAAGGTTGTTGAGTTCAACAGACTTGTTGCAAGTTGTTCCAACAACTTGTTATCGTCCTGCAATTCAACAATTTGATAACAAGTTGTGAGTGACAACCTTGTAGCAACTTGATAAAATAACAGCATTGTTACAACTTGTTAACAAGCTTGCTACAAGCCTGTTGCGAACACATCTTGTTGACAAGTTGTGAGGTTTTTACTTGCGTACGTTCATATTGATGGTTAATACGTCAAACTCACCTTAGAGGTTCGTCACCCAGAAACTGTTCACAAAGATTAACAAACTGTGTTTGATTGAGAAGATTCTTATCAAACGCTGACCCGGTTGTCACGGATTGCGGACGATCTTCAGTGACGACCGAGTGACTTGATGACGTTATCTCATCTAATGAAAGAAACAACATATTATACCAGAGATGAATGATCCATCTGAACGAAGTTGGGCAAAGGAAACTCGTTGTGTTTGGTAGAGTCAAACTGGAAGCACTCTTCTCACATGTGACCGAGGTGAAATTATGATTGCAGGAATGAAACCTCAGTCACATATGTGGAAGACAGACGCACCAACCACTGAAACACCAACATTTTTCTAATAAAACGACAAATCCTTCTTTACCAACCTTCAGATGAAGTGCGAGCGGGTTTTGGCTCAGCTTCGTCGCCATCTTCATTCTCATCTCCGTCTTCTTCGTCCTTCACACTCGAGTGACTCTCGACATCTTTCACAGGCATGTCTTCCTGTGGTTTTGCCGCCCCCTTTTTCGAGTCATCTTCAACAGTTTTGTCAACGTTTAACTCTTGTTCAACGTTTGTTGCGTCTTCTTCTGAGCTCGCTGTCTTCGTTTCAACCATTTCTGGCGTTTTAATCGCGTCCTCTTCTTTCTTTTCTTCTTCTACACGTTAAAAGATGAAGAACTTGCTGGGAAATGTTTGCTTTATAACAATATTCCTAACAAAACAATTGCCCAAAGTTGGGAGACGGAAAGTGTGGTTTCTCTTGGTGGTAAGGGCCCCCAGAAAAGCTGGAGAAACAACATCAGGGCGATAGTAAGGGCTCTCGCCATTATGGACATTGAATCTCGTATCCGAGCCGGGCTTCCCCGTCGTGAAGTGACCAAGAAATGCGACGATCAGGACAAGGGGTAGGATCCCACCGTTATGGACCTTGCTTTCTTTTGCCGGTGTGTGCTTCGCCGTGGGCGAAATGTGGCAACCAAAGTGAACTAAAGTGAGATAAAGTTTGGCTAGCCTTTCGTTGAAAATTTTAAAATTTCAGCTCAACAAAAACGGGATTATAGTGGCATTGACACTTGACAGATTTTGACAGATGTTGATTTGGGTCTGAACTACCTGAAAAGAATAGTTAAATGTAGCTTATCGCAGAATATTGTTCTCTCACCAATGTCCTCAGATATCTTCTCAGATATTTCTGGTTTGTTGTCTTTCAGTTCAGGAGTTTCAGAGACTTTGTTCAGTTCTTCTTTGCTTTGCTCTTGGGCCAACAAGTAATCTTCACATTCCTCAACGTCAACAATAGGCCCTGACAAAATGAAATGTGAAACAGAAATATAAGCTGCCATAGTTTGTGTTTGAACCGCGAAACAAAACAACAGTGGAACAAAAAAACCAACACATGCAACATTCAAAAATATTAAACATACATTTCCTGGGATTTCTCAACGTTGTTTTAATTTCTTCAGTGGAGCTGTCGTAATAATTGCCCAGGATTTCCAACACGCGCATTCTGTCCAACATACCAACCTTTAAATTGAAGAAATGATTTAAAAATGAAAAACGTGAAAAACAAGAAGAATAAGAATTTAACGCATAGACTTACAGCGTCATGATCACAAGCAAGGAAAAGTGCCTTCAAAGCGAATCTATTGAAAGAAAATAGTAACAACGTTAAAAAAGTTATATAGACTAGCAGCTCGGAGCTCGCATTATGTAGTTCGATTGTCTTTATGAATATATGGACAATCTATCAAACTATCCAGAGAAAATACTGTATAGATTGTGCTATTCTACCTAGTTCATCTTCTATTTGCAAGCATTAAGATGGGATCTACAGAACATAACGTAAGGTATAGTCATATAATCTGTTACTACTAAAGACTACCTTATCGTGACTCGCTCAGCAGCTTGTTGGAAATCATAAGCACACTTGGCAAAGTGCTCCAAAAACTTCTCAAATGCAAGATTTGAAAGGCTGATGGTACATGAACTCAAAACCTAGAGATACAAGAATGTAATGAGAACTAGGAAAATGGTGATGATGGTGGTGATGGCACTGGCAGTTGTAGTGATGACAGTGGTGGTGACAGTACTGGTGGTGGTGATGATGGTCAAAGTGATGATGGCAGTTGTGGTGATAGTGATGATGGTGGGTGGTGGTGGGGGTTGGTGATGGTGGTTGTGGGTGATGGTGGTTGTGGGTGATGATGGTGGTGGGTGATGATGGTGGTGGGTGATGGTGGTGGTGGGTGATGGTG